GACGAACTTCTTTGAAAGTGGTGATAATCAGTACAAATTTATATATAGCACTTGTATATATGTTTCCTGCGCTTTAATTTGCACAACAAGTAAGCAAAGGCTATAGTCATATAGGGTCGGCCCCTGCAACATTGCAATATGTTGGATGCCCTCTTATGACCTAATCCATTTTGGGAATATTTCGTTCTTGAAATGAAGTCAAAGAGTTCTACCCAGGCGTTATCCTTAGCTTTTTGATCGGTAGCATTATTTTTGTACTCCGTCGTGTTGACGGAAAAACAAAACAATTTCACACGAAAGTTGTGTTCCATTTTACAGCTAAATATAATCCAATGGTCATCCAAAATGCTAGACTTCTTCCCTGTCCTTAACTCTCTTCTCTTACAAAATTGCGTGTCGTTTGGTTCTCAATTATGACCTATAGAGCGACTGCAAAATCAAAGCAAAAATATAAGTTTTTTGACCCATTTGAACCCTTAGATCTCATCTTCAAAAACAATAGTTTTTAATTCTGACCCAAACCCTACCCCCATGCCAAATTTCGTGAGAATTTGGCGATAACCTAAAAACATAGTGTTGCGGGGGTGTAGAAAAACTTTAGAAAATGTACAATACAAAATTGTAAGTCAATTGAAAAAGTATGACAGAGATTAAAAAAACAACAAAAAATATTCATTTTTTATATTCATATTTTTACTTGATTTCCGAATTGACGAGAATTCTAACGGTTCTTGATTTCTAGGCAGAATAACTAAGATATATTTCTTTACATATATAGAGTGAGATGAAAAAACTGCAATCAACTTCAGACTGCTGTAGTTTGTAAGCCACTCATCCGACAGCTGTTAAAACTATTCCAGTGACAGCTCATTATATTTTTTTCAAGCGTGCAAAAGCATTTTGGTAAGAATTTTCCAGACAAAAAGTTATTCTTGATCTAATTCAAGCGTGACAGTGTGATTTCTTTATATTTTACTGGAAAACCACAAGTGACTATAGTTAGAGCACTCCAGTATTTAAATGTGAATAAAGCTTTTGTGTCTTGTACCATCGCTCGCTACCATGATACTGGTACCGTAGCCCGACGTCAAGGAAGTGTACGGAAGAAAACAGAAAAGAAAAATGGCTCGTGAGCTGAACATAGCAATATTCCATTCGGCAAATATTGAAAAATGAGCTCTGGGTAAAGCCATTTAAATTCCAAAAAGTGCAAGAACTTACACCTCAATAGAAAGAAAATAAACTCAAAGGAGCTGTTTCGCTTGGCCGAAAGTGGTGAACTGCCGAATTTGGTATTCTCCGATGAGAAAACATTCGTTGTCCAGCAGTTTGTAAACAAACAAAATGATCGTGTTCACTTGCCGAAAATGATCGTGTTTACAGCTGAAAATAAGCACCTTCGGTTGGCCAGCAGAACTCAAGCGCCGGCCATAGTGATGGTCATATTAATCAACCGTGGCATCAGAAAAAAATCCTGGATGGTATATTAAAGCCTTGGGCACGCAAACATTTTGGCCGCAGACCTTGGACATTACAACAGGACTCAGCACCATCGCACTCAGCACCCGCCACCCAAGAATAATTACAAAGTGAGGTTCTTCGCAACATTTCCAGCGCACAATGGCCACCAAATTCTCCGGATACCAATCCGTTGGACTATTGTGTCTGGAGTATTTTGGAAAGTAAGGTCGGCATTAAAAAATACCAAATTGTCGATCACCTCAAGTAAGCGCTTCGCCGGGAATGGACCAATAAGGCCATAATTCGTGCCAAAGGTGGCCAATTCAAAGCAAATCTAAACTTATTCTAAAATTTGATGCTACTTTCGACATATTTTGCTTTCATTCATTAAAATTAAAAAAAAAGCGTTTGACTTTGTTGCAGTTTTTTATCTTCCTAGCAGCATCACTATAATGGTGAGAAGTGGCCTTTTAATATATATGTGACAGGACAGGGCAGGGACTAAAAATATTTAAAGTTTGGGGACATTTTCGCATTTTCGGATTTTTTTTTTTTTTTTTGACATTAAAGTTATAATTTATTTACCCGCTAAACATTGACCGATGACCGTACAAGTTGGTTGGTTTATACCCTAAATTAGGAAATGTTTCTGCTTTTGGCCTATTTAAACCCCTAAATCGACTCAGCGCGGCGAGATAGGAAGATCCATATATAGTTTCCTATGTCGGGGACCAAGATTGTTAAATAATACTTAACCCAATCAAACTTATGATACCCCAACACATAGTGTTTAAGGGTGTAAATATTCTGTACCAGCTATCGGACACAACTGTATATGCCTTTGTTAATTTCGGCAATCCAAGTTTGGTTAAATTGGTTATGATATTAATATAGCTTCCATTATATGATTTCCACGATTTTATATTAAACCTTCCGTAATGATATATGTTACAAGAGATCACAAACAGCATCTAGATTATAATACCAATCCGACATAAAAACGTTCCGTCCAATTTCATAACAAATGTACACGACATATTCCACTATACTTACTTTTTATCCAAATCGGTGGACAAATTTGGATAAGCGCTTCAAATACCTAAGATTAAGAGATACCTTGTATCGGAGGGCCTTAGGCTTTTAAATATATAGTACATTTTCTACATATATAATTGGAAAAATACATCTGAACTTTCGAAGAGACTTGAAATGAGGAACCGAACATTTTGAGAAGAGAAAATCTTTTTTAATTCAGAAAACTTAAGTTTATTTTTATTTATTCTTATTTCCTCTTCCTTGGTGTCCGCAATTTCTCGACAGAATTCCCAGACTTTGCAGTGTTAAAATTCAAAAGGAACAAACGCTGTGTAAGCTGTAACATTGTTTTCGTTTAACACTGACATGACGCGATTGTCGACTTGCTGTCGTTTTTCCATGCGTAACACAAGATAGACTCAAATGTCTATCCTGACATGGACATTAAGACAGTTGACACATCCAAAATTGACCCAAGCTATTGTATAGATTTGTAGATTTTTCCCAATTCCAAAAAAGTAAACCGAGTAAATTGTGTTTCCTGTATAATTTATTTTGTTTTTTTTTTTTCCTTTCTTTTCAATGAAATACATCCATCTTAAAAGTTATTTTTAGGATTGTTTTAAGTTAATTATCATACAAATAAAAGAACAATTGTGGAGTGCCAAATTTGTTGGGTTTAAGTAAATTAAATTGGGGCAAAATTCACAACCAAATAAAATTAAACCAAACCAATATGGGTCAATTCATGGTAATGTTAAAAAATATGTCTAATCAGAAAACAAATTGAATAAATACTCCTCGAATTTTCTTTGCTTGTGTGTGTTGTTGTGTAGCATTCACAAAATGCTCACAAAGAAAAATAAACTAGGGCCTACATTATAGGTATACGCGCTGGCGAGTAGTGGTTTTGTGCGGCAAAAGAATTAGAAATCAAATTAGTTTATAAAGTTGGTTTTGTTTTTTTTTTTTTTTTTTCATACATAAAGGTTTACACATGCTTGAGTACTGATGTTGTGTAGCAGTTTTTACGGTCGTTGGCAATTCCTAGACTTAAAGCTAGAAACTATTTTTTGTATTGTGTTTTTTTTTTCTTTTTCAAAGCAATGAAAACCTAAGTCGGGTATGTTTTGAGAAATTTTAAACTAAGTTAAATGGTTTGTACATTGTTTTAAAATGTAGTTTTAGGTTGGTGGGGGATGATAAAAAGAAATACAAATTTACATTTTTTCTTAGAAATGATTGATAGATTTATTACTGCTTATTGTTTGTAGAATATAAGATATTGAGGACAGAGTATCACAAAAAATGCATATCATTTTGTTGTTGTTGTTGTTTTTTGTTTATTAAATTCCGAAATAGTATCACGAAACATTGTGTTGTTTGTAGTTGAATTAATAAAAAAAAACAATGATTCTTTTTTATTATGCAAATAATTCTTTTCAATATCTTAATGACAACTACAAATGGAATTTAAGGTATCTGTTATTTTCTTTCTTTTATATAAAAAAGCCTCAGTTTGTATATTATATAATTATATATTGGATGAGAGTAGATAAGAGTATACAATAAATGTATGGAATCCGCTTCATTTGATATTTATGTTATTGTTGTTTTTGTAGGTTTGTTAAAATGAGAAACAAATGATTTTGGTGGTTGTTATTAAAAGTAAAAGTAGTACTAAAATTAATTTAAGATTAATTCCTTATAAACTAATTTTTGTTTTGTTGCTATTTATGTGTTCAATCAAAACGCGTATGTCTTGTGTTGCCGCCACTACTACTGCTGGCACCGCCACCACGGCTGTAGCCACTGTCACCACCGCCATAGCCATTGCTGCGACCACCCTCACCACCGCCATAACCGTTGCTGCGGCCACCATAACCACCACCATTACCGCCGCCATAACCGCGACCATTGCTCATCGATCCCTTCTTGAAGGTGCCATTGTAGCGGGAGTTACCACCACCATATCGTGAACGGCCGCCGCCATCGAAACGACTGTTGCGTACCATATTTTCTAGAGCGGGATTTATTTCCTGTAAATAGAAGAGAATACAAATTTGTATATGAAACAAAACATTTATCTTGCATCAATAGACGAAACTGAAGGAAAAAAAAAAGGTTGTAAGTTGTAACCGCGGATGCTATTACGAGTATTCAGAGGACTTTTTATGTGAATCTTAAGTTTATTATCGAGTTTAAAATCAGAATCATCTGTTGTAATCTAAAACCCATGAAAACTTGATTTGGTCATTTGCTGATAATATTGATTAATATTGCTTATAAAATTAGTTCAAAATCATGTGGATCCAACAGTTGCTCATTTGGTTCACTTGTATTTGCATGCCACAAATAAATGATTTAAAATCGAATTTGAAAGTCGGCTCTCCTGGTTTGATGAAACACAAAATTTGCAACATAAAGTTACTTGTGGTCTGGATCACATATTGAATTATTATTTCCCATATTTTTATTTAATTAAAACAACACGTAGATTCTTACCTGATTAGCCTCACGAAGAACATCAAGCAGTGCCTTCGACTGTTTGGAGTTGTTGCGTGTGAAGAATGCATATGATGTGCCAGTTGTGTTTGAACGTCCAGTACGACCAATACGATGGATATAATCCTCCGATGATTGTGGATAATCGAAATTAATTACATATTTAATGCCATCGACGTCTGTTGTTTGTTAGGAAATTAGTTATAAAAACATAAAAAGGGTAAAAATTAATAAATGTATAAAAATGGTATGTTTATACTAAAAAGAATATGTATTTATATGTCCCTCCCAATAGAAAATAGACAGTATACAACCATGACTTGTTTTCGTTTTCTCTCTTTTTTTTCTGTATGCCTTTCTTTTTGAAACAAAAAACAATACTACTCTTCTTAACTGACACTCTGGGATTAGAATTTTGAAAAAAGCTTTTGTTTTGTTTAACTTCAACTATTTTTTGAATGTCAAGAATAGAAATATTTACTAAATTTTGCAATTATGAAAAACAATTTAAAAAATATTACTTTGATCTTAGAAAAAATAAATTACCTTATTGTTGGGGGGTTTTTCTTTTATCAAAATGCGAACGAAATAAGAAAAAGAAGCTCTTCACTGGAACCACGTCGATGCATAGGCAATAAAATGGTGCATTTGGACGACGCAGTGTTAAGAAGAGCTTAGAACAAACTGTCTATAATGTCCTTCCCGTATTCGTGGGGTAGGAAGGATGTGTGTATTTTTATACGGAACTATTTTTTTAATAATTTTCAGGGTTTGTTCGACTTTTTCTTTTGCTTCTTTCAAAATCTAGACACACATGTTCAGCACACACGTTTATTATAATTAGTTGGTTTTGTTTTGTACAATTATCAATCGATGAAGACGATATTTCAAAAGACGCCAAAGCCCATTTTATAGATCTATTTCATTTAACACACTTTAGTCCACACACACATACATACATATGATTCTGATGAGGTTGAGTGCGTTTCTTTAGTGTGTCATTCAAAGGCTCCAGCATCCATTGTGTACAGAAGTTAAAGGCAGGCATCCGATGGATTTTGTTGATTGTGTATGTAGATTTCCTAAAATAAGCTACTACTCTGACTGGTTTTTGTTGTTATACTTTCGTTGTTGTTGTTCTCATTTTGTAGGAAATGTGTGTCCTTTGCTTGTGTCTTGTTGAGGAGTTGTAAGACTATTTTGTGCCGGGGACGTACTCTGTTTTGTAAAGGACGTAAAACCAAATGATGATATCCGCCGTCTTTGAGGGGTTTGGTCTTGAACAGCCTATTCAACATTTGTTATACGATTTCACATACTTTGGATACGTCTCTCCAACTGTTCCATTAATATTGACATTTCTATACATTTGTTTTGAAATAGATTGGAAAAAAACCAAATCATCACCAGTAACAATGATCCAGCTGTCGATATACACAACAAAGAACACATTCACACACACAGTCCTTAAAAGACCTGGTCTCTTCTACGAGCTTTTTTAAGATGCCTGCTTAAGCCAACTGTGAACAGAGCGGAGAGCATTCGCCAGCGGGAAAGATGTTCTTGATTTCTATTCATTAGTAATTATAAAATTTAAAAACTCCAACCCAATTGAGGGTCTGGCGTTTTTTTGTTTAAACATGACCGACTGACTCCTGCGCAATGTAATGCACTCCGTCCAATTATGATGCTGCTGCACGTGTGTCCCCACCATTTTTATTATAATAATTAATTCAGTTAACAACAATTTTATTGAGATTTTAAATTGAGAGAGTTATTGTTATGCTTTTAGATAGAAGTATTTTGCTCTTTGTTCTTGTTGTTGTTCATGTTCAACACCAATTTGCTCCCAACTTTTTTACAGCAGAGGCCTCTTAGCACAAATATGCTTGATTGATGATAGGGATATATGTGACGATTCTTTAATTAGATAGATACGCGTATATCATTGTCTATCAAGGTGGCGGTATATTTTTGCGTGTACTGCTGATGTTATTTCGCAAACCAAACATATGCGGAGGTGCGGTACGCTCAGTAATAATTGACACACGACACCACTCCATTGAAATTGTGCGGCGTTGTATATATTCACTCACAACCAAGCGTAATCACACATTGTTTTTGTTGCTTCTTGCAAATATACCTCCTCCTTTGGACGTTTATCGGTTCGTATGTGTTGAGCGGTGGTGAGACGGTTTGTACGACATACCCTTTTTTCCAATGGCCATTATGGTAAAAAAGTGTTGCCGCTATTCCGTGGCCGCCGCTTTCAAGTCAAAACTCACGAAACTCACGCGAACGACAAACAATCATTCGAAGTATCAACGAATTATTAGCTCACATATTTCAAATGTGACTTTCGCTTTCAGTTTTCATTTCAAATCATTAAAAGATTTTTTAGATGACATTTTATCCCCACCATGCAACAATTTATTGTGGCCTCTGTAAACGAAATAAAAAGAGAATTGGGAAGAGACAAAAACAGTGTTGATGACACACAGGGCGATGGGTAAGAAGGAGGGAAAGGAAAAATACCATATAAGTATTAATAAAGTCATGTTTCTTTTTGTTATTATATAAAATAATTTCAATATATGTTGTATAGTAAGAGTAAGTTAGGAATATGTGTGGGAGTAGTTAGGTTGATGATGGTAGGGGTGTTGAGGATGTGTTGCGCGTCGGAAGGTGAATACGTTAATTCATCTATTAATATTACAGTTAACCATTTTGAATACAAGCCCGAGCAATACACATTTTTTAATATTAAAATGAATTTTAAATGCAAAACAGAAAATAGATATATAGGTAGAGGTATTAGCCACTTGCTGGAATCTAATTCTGAACGAGTACAACAAATTCCTCTAAGAACATGTTTTACTAATTACGAGTTTATGCATATTCGTAAATTAATTCGAATCTCTGCATCAAAATATGCAGCATATATATATTCAAAGCGAGCAAATTTAATTTCATGTTTTGCGTTTAAAATACACATTTTAATTTTTTCTTTTGTCCATTTAATGGAGTAAAAATTACTAATGCAGATGAAGGTGAAAGCTAAACAAATACATATATGACAAGAGAATGGGATATATCTGTTATATTCGTAGAATGACAAAGAATTCCAGAATGACTTACCCAAACCACGGGCTGCAACATCTGTGGCTACTAAAATATTAGATTTGCCCGAACGGAATTCACGCAATACAAAATCACGTTCCGATTGTGATTTGTCACCATGAATTGCGCCGCAACGAACACCAAAGCTGCGAATGAAACGTACCAAGTGGTCAACGCGACGTTTGGTTTCAACGAAAATAATAATTTTGCCGGGGTTTTCGCTGGTATCATAGATTTCCGAAAGCAAAGATTTTAACCTGCAAAATAAAACAAGGATATCAATAAGCATCGAATGAAATCAGAAAAGTAAGTATTTATGTTATCTCAATGACACACAAATAAAATAAATTAAAAACGCCAACTTACTTTTCTTCCTTGTCACTTTCTTCGCACACATCAATGACTTGACGAATATTGTGATTTGCCGACAATTCCAATGAACCAATGTTTATTTGTATGTAATTTCCCAAGAAATCTTCGGCTAATTGTTTGACCTCTTTGGGCCATGTAGCGGACCACATAAGAGTTTGACGATCGGGACGAATTTGTGAGATAATCTTACGAATTTGTGGTTCGAAACCCATATCCAACATACGATCAGCTTCATCCAAAACCAAATATGTACAACGCCTCAAGTTGGTGGCACCAGCGGCCAAGAAATCAATCAAACGACCAGGTGTGGCAATAACAATTTCGCAGCCACGTTGAAGATCGCGCATTTGACCGCCTTTTGGAGCACCACCGAACACGCAAGTGTTGCGTACGTATGATGAAGAACCGAATTCGGTGGCAACTTGTTGAATTTGTTGGGCCAATTCACGGGTTGGAGCCAATACCAAGGCAATGGGTCCATCACCACGTTGCAAAGGAGCTTGATTGTTGATGTGTACAATGGCGGGCAAAATATAGCCCAAAGTCTTGCCGGAACCGGTCTTGGCAATACCAACTAGATTGTGTCCAGCCATGGCAATGGGCCAACCCTGAGCCTGAATGGCTGTGGGTGCCTTATAGCCTTGGCGACGAATTTCTTTGCTTACATAGTCGGGTAAATAAGCTTCGCTGAAATCTTGTATGGGATTGGGAGCATTACCACGAATGGTAATTTCATGTTCGTCGCGGAAACGTTGTACCTCGGCATAGGAGCGACTAGCAACAGTAGGATGTTCCTTGTAGAAGTCCTTTTTGAATGGAGTCAAATTGCTGAAGTCAACGGGGCGAATTGAGAGATCTTGGGCGTTGCCACCACCTCCACGACGATCGCCACCGCCAAAACCACTGCCGCCGCCATAACCGCCACCGAAACCACCACCGCGGCCTCCACGATCATGACCGCCACGACCCCCTTTCTCAACGCGTCCCTTGCTTACGCCATGGTAATCACCACCACGTCCACCGCTGCGGCTGCCATAACGATCACCACCATCACGACCACGATTTTCATCACGTCCGCCACGAGCGGCACCATAAGTTTTATCATGAGGAGCCCTAAAAAAAGAAAATAGGAAAAGATTAGAAAATCATACTTCCAACAAAATATGAAACCTTAAATAAATTTACTTTCTATGTTTTGTAGATTTATGATGTGATGTCATTCTGCAAAAATTATATAAACGTTGCAATTTTTCGGTCGGAGAAAGTGAACCACTTTACCATTTGAATAACAAATGTCAATTAAAACCCCCCACGGATTTACAGTTAAGCTTTTGACTCGACTTGAGACAAAATAAGAGTCGTCATTATTTGAAAATTAATAAAATTGCTTTTTATTTGACTTTAATAGATTCCAATAAAACTTAGGGGCTTTTAAATTATATTTCATGCTACCTATACCGTCTCGCCTGTTCCTCCTTCTTCCCTCAATAACATCTGAATGATTTCAATATGTGATTTTGATTTGTTTGCATGTTAAATTCTTATTTAAAACTAAATTTATAAATTATACACCAGGTGGTACACTCTCTAAAAGATCCGGCGTTGCTCTGTTGTATGTCTCTACTTATTTGTCGTTCTTTTTGCTAGGATGGCTGCTGCATGCCACGTTTGACTTGTTTCAGAGTACATACAAAACAACATATTTATATTTGCTCGTCACTCAAATTGCCAACGACGACGACAACATTCAGAAAACGTTCTCTTTGACAGCGGTGTTGTCGCGTGTTTTGCCAACCAAATGACTTTGTTTTGCTTTTCGTTTGTTCTTGTATTCTTAAATTAGGGGCAATATAAATAATTGTTAACATGCAATAAGTCGTATTTTTTATACTAGCAGTATTATTAATGAGAAAGTGATGTTTATTTATTTGATGTCACATCATGAGAACTATATTTACCACCACAGGGTGGGTTACAATAACTTTGTAGTATAATTATTATTATTGGGCGCATTTTGAATAAAATAGTAAACTGAATTAGTTACGAGAACTCAGCTGTAGATTTCATACTAATATTGTCCAATAATTCAGACTAGACTAGAAAATATAGCGCGATTATAAAGATTCATGAACACACCAAATAGGACAGGTAAACCAATAATTTTCTGACAAAAAAATGACAATATCTACCCACTTTTATTCTTCTTTGACATTTTAAGACTAGTTTCTCAAAAACTTGAATGCAGTAAAAATGAATCAGTATTAAACGTGAAACAAGCTCTTTGTTGCTAAAACACGAGTATGAGCACAAATTAATTTCAAGGTAATATTACTTAAAAATTGATAAATTTGATAAATTATTTAAAAAAGACAAGAATAAATAAGAAAAAAAACCTCTATAGACAAAAATATCGATCAAAATAGTCAGATTTAATGATTAAATGGCTACAAACATTAAAACTGGAAAAGGTAGGAGGGAGGCAACAGCTCAAAATTTTCTTATCTTTTTTACGAAAAGTTGTTGCGCAGGCAATTTTTTAACGCAAATTTAGTCCATTTGAAGTTTACATAATGTAGCTGCCGTTTCTACAACCTGAATAAAGTTGTAAATTCAACTCAAGACCGAAGTTGTAAAATGAGACCCAAGGTTAATCAACAAAGTTTTATGGCATCCATCATCAGGAAAAAATGAGCTACATCGACTTCAAACTGCGAATATACCTAGCCCAATGGCAACTAGGCGAAAGCTTGAAAAAGTGTTAGATATACGACGAACAGTAAAAAAATGTATACATTCTGAAATTCGAAACGTATATTCTGAAAATTAACACTCGAATCACGTATCATCAAACCGAGATCCATTTTGGACTGAAGACAGAGTAGATCGTCCATCATAATCACACTGGATATGAAATGATGACGATGCAACTCGGTCGATTTTTTAAATCACTGATGCAATATATATTTTCTATTTTTCATCATCTCAAAAAATCCGGTTTAAGGAAACTGGATTTAAGGTATCCCAAGCTATTAGGCCGGAAATATCGAGGAGAAAATCCTGCCAACTTTTCCTATTTAGAAACTTGGAGCTATTAATAGTTGATATGTAATTTCTGAACTACTGTAGACAATGTAAAGATGAAGAAGATATCTGCAATCCTAGCCAAATAGAAATAATAAAACTTCACCCTTCTTATCGCACATAGATCTCATTGTCTCCTAAAGGCGTGTGAGTAATTTGTTTTATCCATAAAATTTCTAATATTTCAAATTTAATAACAACTTTTCTTCTTCCGACTTTGTTCTCTTTCGATATCTCCAAACATTTCCTAGGAAGAACACAATGCCCTGACAAGAGTTCTTCGAGTGTCTGCCAGTCTCTCGAGTGTCTGCCAAATCTCTGACAATCGAAGTGTGGCATTGCAGCATATTCGAGGGAACAAAAGATCTCAAAATGGCTTGGAAAGTTTCAACAGACAAATCTTAAAAAAATCTGTTTAATATTTGCTTTTTTGTGTGTCGGTTGAATTCAAAAGTATTTGAGACAAATATAATTTTGTTTTTGAACTGTCGAATTAAAAACAAATTGTTAACAGGGTTTTGATGACCTTCGGTCAAACAATCATCTGCCAAAATGATTATTGTATTAAATTTTAAATAAGATTCCGATTCTTTCCATGATTTCTATTTAATATGAGGATAATCAAGTGTGTTTTTCTTTTTGGATACATTTTGTGTGAAATATGCCTTAATGCTTGTCAAGTTTTGCATTTGTCCATAGAAAGGAGTCTCAAATACCAATCAAAGGCTGACAACCATATGCAAGTTTTTAGATAAAGGATACATTTTTGGTTAAAAACGTCCAAAAATGTGTATAACCATTTTTGTGGTTCGATCCTTCAATTGCCACTTTATGAAAGCTACTTCAAAGGCTAGTCCAACAATATTGAAAATTATTTAAAGTGAGTATTTCAAAATACAAATAGTGCATCAATAATAGTACTTTTAAGCAGGAAGATTGTATAACTTCCGCATATTTAAATATATTCAAAATGAGGAGGTAAAATTATATAGGGTTTTGGAAAGACCGTTCATTGAAAATAAGGCTTTTAGCAAAACATAAGCCTACATATAGACACGTTTATCAAGACTTACAATACATAAAATCGGGTGAAAAAAATAATATATGAGAGCTAAACTAAATGTCGATCAAGTGATTGTTGCTTGAAGCAACAACAAAATATATACAAATGGACGATGCTTTTGAATTTAAAAGTTATTCTGTTCAAAAGTATGTACCTATGCTAAAGGGCACAGAGGGATAAACTTCATAAATCGATGCACACACTTTGAGACTAGCGACTTTAGACAAAAATCTTTAATTAAGAATTAGGGCGATATATAGTGTCGACTTTATTACCCCATGTAAAATGATTTCATGTTTTCAATTTCTAAAAAGTCGGTATAACTGCGAATTTTGGTAGACCTCGTAATGTTCATCGTGAAGATATTGCCTGCGAATATTATCATCCATTAACATTTTTCGAATACACTCATCCCAGGTTTATTTTTACAATTTTATGCTTCAGCTGCCATGTGTAAATGCATGAGTGCTTCAATGTAATGTACGCAACTCAAACTTTTGTGTTGAAAATGTCAGGTAGAAATAGTTGTTGAATGCTGTGGTGGTGGCAATGCAATGTATCTACCACACCTCAGGGCACAAAAACCCCCTTTAGTGTACACACAAAATGTGTGTAGTCTTTCAGTTGAAAAGTGGATGCACATTCATGTCTTTCCTGCAGTATAATGACATTTTTCATGGTCTCATCTCAATGACTAGTTGTTGGTGGGGTAGTATATGTCAAAGATTGGACAGAGAGAAAAAAACTTGATTAGACAACTACAAATAGAGGTAATTATCTCGTGTCCATCAGAGAAAGAGACCAATGAGAGTGTGTTTTATTAAAAAAAAAAACACATACATAGAAACAATAAAAAGAATCAGCAACGAGATAAACATGTCGAGCTGGCAAAAATATTTAACAAAAACTTGGGTACATAAAACAGCCAATGATACGTAGTATGTATACAGAGAAAATGGCAAAATCCCAAAAAGTGAGGTACACTGCCTTTACACGGTGACATTTTTTAACCATGCCATTTTTTTTTGTTGGTAAAAGGTGTAGAGAGACAAGGATAGAAGAAAAAATGGCACGATAAGCCACCGCACAGGGTTACATGCCATTTTCTTTGCAATTCTCTTTTTGCTTCTTCCGAATTTTTTATGATTTTGACATTTCATATCGTTTCTTTATTGTAATTTTTGATGCGTTTCTTTTATTGTAATTATGTTTTTAGTGATTGAATTGTATAGTGAATTATATGAATATTAATTGGAAGTATTAAAAAGTAAAAAAAAGAAAGTTAAAATAAATTTTAATAATGCAATATTTAACACCTCAATAACTTTTTCCATCATTTCTTCTTTAGATTCACACATTTAATTTTAAATCACTTCTTTATAAATATCTGTTACAAACAATTAGCTCTATGCGAAATACAGAATAAAATAAAATGTCAGAAAAAAATGCCAAGCACTATTATCGTAAAATGCCACCGTGTAAAGGAGCGAAGATTTACGCAGAAATTTTAAAAGAGAATTGATAAAAATGCCAGCTAAAAATTGCACCGTGTAAAGGCAGTGGTAAACATCGTTGAAAGAGAAATTTAAAAAACACGAGGCAATGAAATGTGCAAAAGTACGGCACACTAACACATAAGAGAATATTGACGTCAGATTTGATTGTAATGAAGTCGGCAACAAGGCAGACTCGCTTTGGCTTAGGGAAAACAGGTAGCAAAAACAATACAAAGAAAAAATAACGTGGTTGGAAATTTTCCATACATGGCAGACAACTTAGATTTTTTAATGTAAATATAATCCAAGAAGGGGGTCGTCGAAGCAATGTGTTCTCGTCGTTACAACCCTAGCCATAGTTAATAAAAAAACCACGCATATGTTTGACAAACACAGTGTTGCTCACTAATACAATAAAGAGTACAATCAAACATCTCTGGTATACAGAAAAAATAGTATAGCGAATGAGGGAGGAAATGGAGGAACCAAAGAAAAAAAAGTATTTCAAAATGGATGACAAATCAGGTGTAGATAAGTCTTGAAATATATAACCACTTTTGGGATTTCTTCTCAAATCAATCTAAATTGTTACTTACATTTTACCAAAACTGTTGTATTCGTCGTCCGAGTCTTCAAATAAAGTTTGTTGTCTTGTATGTTGTGCTGTTGTTGAATCCCTTTTGGATGTTGTTCCAACGTCTGATGCTGATGAGGTTAGCTTTTCCGTAGAATTAGTATCGGCCGCTTCCTTAAAATTTGCGTTAACGCTAGAGCAATAAAATCCTCGTCGATTTGCTTTTGTGTGAAGCTCTAGGTTTTGTCCTAAGCGGTAACTACTAACTCCCAATTGTTCCTTAACGGCAGTTGCTGGAAAAGCTGCTATAGTTTTTCTGTTGGTCGATGAAAAAAGAAAATGGCGTCGTTGAGTAAAATTTGCCACCGACAATGTGCTTTTTTGCGTTGCTGGTGAAATTAAGAAATTTTTTATACAACAAGCGGTTCTCAAATTCGCGTTATCTTTGCACGAGTTTCTCGTTAATAAAGGCACAATTATTTTGAACATAATTATTCTCCTTTTTTCGTATTTCGTTTGACTAGATTATGTATTTAGTGGTACAGTAATACTTATATCTATATCACAATCTTTTTCTTCTTTATCACACAGAGACAAGAAATAAAAAAAATACTCTCAGAAATGAACTCGTGCACACAACGCGAAATAACCGCAATAGGTTCTTACCTAACCTCGTCCAAAAGTGGAATGACGCATGGCACAAAATTTCTTCAGTATTTACTTATCGCACGGGTTGTCAAACAAGCATGGCAGGGTTGTATTTCTTTATATACGTACGAAACGAAAGAGAACAGCATGGAATAGAAACACAGCTTGCAGACTTAAATATTTCTTTTAACGAAAAAACTTAAAGAAACAAAAATAGGGAATTTTTTTAATACATTATAATAATAATACATTATAAAACAATATACCGGCTATACGTATGTGTATTTCACACGTTTTCTGTCTCAAAACCGAAGATGTTCTTGATCTTATTTCGCCAAAAATAGTAAATCGAAATTTAATGCATTCTTAAATTAGGTACACCAATAAATACGGCACGATTCGTAATTCTCATTAATATGAGTAGAATATATTATTGTTTTGACCTTTTTCTGTAAATGTTGACATTTTGAATATATTTTTGTATGTTTTCTGCTTTCATTTTTCGGTGGAGAGAAATTTGTCAATGCAAAATGTTTGAAATAGTGCCTCTTTTGTTTCCGTCTTTCTGCTAATATTCCAACTATTGAACAAAAAGCGTAGTTCGAATGAGGAAGAGAACAAAATTTACTTTCGTTTGAATGTTCATAAGCCATTCAACATTGTATTTTTCATTCATAATTTTCAGTCTTCCTGAATAATTTGAAAATTTCATAAAATTTTTCTATTTCTAATTTTTAAATGTCATAATTTATTTATTCGGTAAATGCACTCATTTGTTAGGAATGGCACATATTACATCTTTAGGTGGGAATACATACAACGCTTATCTGACTGGCTTAAGTCATCGGCTGGCTTCTTCGGAAATGAACAAACGAGCCTAGGGCCAAAATTGAACTAAGACAACCTTAAACTCCTTTGTTCATTTACGAAGAAGCCAGCCAATGACTTAAGCCGGCCAAATATGCGCTTTATGTATTTTTAGCCTAAGGGTGGCCAGATAAGCGCTTTATGTATTTCCACCCTTAGTTCTGTAAGTGATTTGAATGGAACCAAGAACCTTTGTTCGCTCAGCAAATTTGTACAAGTTTTTACTACGATAACAGATTTACCTACCCATGGTACTATAAAAAGGTATGTTAGAGCTATCAGCTGATTACAATTTTTTTTTCTAAAAGTGTTCGACTTCTGCCAATTTTGTATATGTGTTAATTGTTTTGAAAAATACCTCCTTATTGTACTATGGATTTGCCCATTGTAGAAGAATACAGGTAGATGCATCAATGCTTGGGAACATTGATATGTCAACATTTTTTAAATGTTCTTTCAAATATAAGTAGATTTATATACTTTTTTATACGACGTTATTCGGAGGTTATTATAATTAGAGTTTTTCAATAATTTTTAATTTAAAAAAATTTTCATTCAACATTTTCGATTTCAAAATTGGTTTGACAGTTTATTGTTCCAGCAGTTGTGTCGATGCGTCTACCTATATTCTTCTACCATGGATTTACCCTTTATGGAACAGACAAATTTTTATAGTTAAGAAGGTAAAGTCATTTCAAGTAAGTATTTCCATCTTTGCATTTTCTTTGCACTTTGTCAAATTTCACTGCATAGTATTCAGATTTCCATCTCTGAATTGTACATATACAACGGATTTATAGATAAACATTTTGACAATGAAATGTTGTTTTATGAATAATTTTGAAAAAATTGTAAACATATGATTGCGTGACTTGACCTTCTTATTTCTACCATGATTTTTACATTCTTGCGGGCTCTGGGCTAGTAGTGACAGAGCATGATGTTACAATTATCTTATCTAATATAAATTTGGACTTTGTCCCGATTTAAGCTAGGCGATTTTAGTCGTCGCAGTTTGTTTGTCCCCATTTGAAATTGCAATTAAGGATGACAATTTCTTTTACGAAATATAAATGTTTCATTATTGCCTTTTTTGTGCCATATTAAAAACATTACATGTCATTGTATTAAGATGGTTGGCATCACTTCCAGTGTGTTCATTGCTTTGTGGCAATACTTACAACGGAATTGATACTTTGTATACGTCTTTATTATAGTTGCACCTTTATTGAGTATGTTCAGTGTTTGCGTGTGTTATGCTGAAAGTTTAACGAGGTTCGTGTATTTGAAAAAAAGTTATCAAGCACGTATGAATCTATAAATTATATAAATTATTAACAAAATACAGTAAATTGATAAAAAATATGAATTCAAAAGGAATTTTGAAATAAATTTCAAATAAAAAACACATTTTGTGACTGAATTTGAACGAAAATTGAGTAAATATCACAAAATGCCTCGAGTCCTGTAGTTCGACATAGAATGGACGAAAATTGCAATTTATGAAGATCGCCGATTAACGTATGGAGAGCTGTAAATTGGAAAATTGTTTAATTTAAAAAGTGTCTGCCAATAACATTCAAGAAGGTAAATAGACTTGGGGTAAAACATTAACGCGAAAATTATATGTAAATCGTATTATATTGCAGGCACCATATCTATACTTGGATTGAGCGTTGTTGTAGAAATTCCTTATCCGTCTTAACGGATTACATCAGCTGAACCAAAATTCAGGTGGGGAAGTGTAACATGCGATTAGACAAATATACCTAATTTTTTGCTATGAATATACATAAGTGAAATTGTAACACAAAGACTTGGAAGAAGTAATTATTAATTTTGTAATAGCTTTTACAAATTGAATGCGCAATTAAAAACCGTCCTAGATCGAATTTAAAAGAAAAAAGTGTGTAACATAAACAAACGGGTAGTAAACATAAGACAATGACCCGATGAGCAAATTCGTCGGCATATGGAAAGAAGAGTGTTAATATTTTAAAAATAACAAAAAAATGCACAACGGAAAAAAGCTTGATGTGAATTGGATTAATAAGAAAAATAGGAAGTACCCGAATTTGGACTGCGCAATATATTAATTCTGCATAAGATCCGTTTAAATAAAAATCTCAAGCAACTGTAATTACCTTATTTAAACCACATAGCAGAAGCATCGGAACAATTAAAATTGGACAAGTGTTGCAAAAGGGTGTTCAAGAAGATTGTGACAATATTACAACACAGGCAATAGCAACATTGAGGTAAGTATAAGACTTTATTTTTATACCCTCCACCATAGTAAATAAGTTTGCCATTCCGTTTGTAACACCTCGAAATATACATTTTAGACCCAACAAAGTATATATATTCTTGATCAACATAAAATTCTATGTCGATTAGCGATGTCCATCCGTCTGTCCGTCACTCTAGCTTCCGAATGAAATAAAGTAGATTGATAGAATTTCACTCAAATTATTATAAATAATTATAATTAATTATTATGTCTGCAGGACTTTTGTTATTGATAATGGGCCATGTAGGTCCATGTTTTGGTATAGCCCCCATATAACGGTACCTCCCTATTTCGGTATTTTGATGATTGTAGAGACATTATTCGCCGCAATTGTTTCAAATTTAGTAGTTGTAGTTCGTAATGGACACTACAGCCTATGACAGGAGATTGTCTGTGCAAGTTCACGTCTTTATATAGCCCCCATGTAACGGTACCTACCGATATACGGTATTTTTATCATTTTAGCGACATTTATCACTGGTATTTGAAGTTCGTAATGAATACTACAGCCTAAGACTAAAATTGTCTGAGCAGTTCCACGTCTTCGTATAGCTCCCATATAACGGTACCTCCCGATATTCGGTATTTTGGTGATTTTAGCGACATTATTATTCGGAATTGTTTCAAATTTGGTATTTGAAGTTCGTAATGGGTACTGCAGCCCAAGGCAGAAAATTGTCTGTGCACACAACTTTTTGCACATATATTGATGATTTTAGCTACATTATTCACCTTTTTTTTTCAAGTTTCGCATTTAAATATTGTAATGGCTTATGACAAATGTTGCCTATGCAGAACCACGTCGTCGTTTTGAGCCTAATATGACGGCTACATTTAGTATTTTTAAGATGATAACAGAATTTTTAACGGATTTTATTTTTTTTTTTAAATTTCCAAATTCGTTCCAAATGTTGGAGGGTATTCAAAGTTCGGCCCGGCCGAACTTACAGTTTTTTCACTTGTTAAATTATGATTGAAATAAATTAAGACGTAGGGGAACACATACATTTTACTTCCTTTAATATTGCTTTGGCCATTGTTTGCTGCTGTTATTAATTGATCTCTAGTTTATGATTGAGTTGACTAGAGTAAATGTGGTTACGGGTACAGTAATGCTACTTCTAAGGTCCATTGGTAATTCGGTATGCTTTTGAAGTCTAGAATAATACACTCAAAATGTAATATTTATGTTTTAGGGGATTAGAGTGCCACAAGTCATAGAAAATACGAGCCATGTCTTCCTGAGAAGGTTAAATGTGAACCTGGGTAGACAGGAATGCCATAAATTTTTCTTCTTATCTTTTGGAATAACAATTGACTTATGCTAGTAAACTTAGAACCATATGCCTGATTTTAAAAATATTTAGACTTAAATTGGCGTCATGGTAGAAGAAGTTATGTCTTAAATACTTACCCAAACAGTATCTCATATTATTTGAACAACGGATATACACTTGAGATTCTATTTATTATTTCACATAGTTTGTAATAAAAAAAAATATATAAAAATTGTTTTCATATACGTTCTTATGTACTACATAACATATACTGTTATTTACAAATACATATTTTGTATTTTAAATCAATGTGATTCATTAGTTAATATCTTAAAAATTTATTGTCGCTTATTTTAGCTCTTACAAGCCCAATAAATTACAAAAGCTTCTGTACATTTTCGCTTGGCGGCCTTTTAGGCATCCATATAAATCGTTTATTTTTAGACAGTCCGTTTTACTCAAAGTTTTTCTTTGACCAATTCTTACGCCGGGCTGTAGGGGCGTAATCGATGGCTTCTTTCCCTTACTTTTACTAAAGTAATATTCGCCATAGTGCATCACCGAATTGTAATCATAGTCGAATGTGTATTTTCCTCGTTTCTTAGAGATAAGTTTAAAATTCTTGCGAAATTTCGGTACTATATTTTCCCAATGTACCTTAATGTAATTATCTCGATCGGCTCGAGATTGTTCATGATATATGCCAATGGCATGCATTAGTTCATGCATTATTCGACCCTCACTGCTGAAACAATGGGCACTTGTTTCATCGGGTTTCTGTAGTGAAACCACTTGTTCGCCACCTTTTCGCCCAACATATGACCAGCAACCTTTGGGCCCTTCTTCGGGTGGTGTTATTAAAATATAATCATCATCCTCACCATCGTATGGTACAAACTTGATGCAGGTCAATGAATTGAATGTTTTCAAAACTCTCTCGATGGCTCTGCGTTCGCGTGAATCATACAAATAACTTATTTCAAATGGTATTGTAGCATTGGGCCATAGTCGTTTTGGATGTTTTGTGGGATTTACACCTAAACGTAATGTTAAATATGTAAAGGGATCTATGGCAATGTCTCCTTGATACAATCTTGGTTTAGTTTCAGGATCATCACCGGTGTCGGCTAAATCGTCTTCGCTCAAACTTGGACCATAGGGGTCGTATTCATCTGCAATGAATGTTTTGTAAAATTAGTTGATTGTCATTAAAGGAATAATTTGTTACTAAAGAAGTGTATAATCATGTGGCAACCTAAATTTCTAGAATCGTGGGCTTTCTACTTTCTGAGAGTTTTGTGTGGCTATATAACTCACCGGAACATTCAAATGTATCACTTCCAGAGACTAATAAGATTGGCTAAACACCTAAATAATGCAAAAATCCACATTTTTTTTACTTTGTTTTTTGATTTATGGGCATATTTTCTAACTCTTCTTTGCATGATATTTTCTATTAAAATTAAGTTGTATGCTTCGGCCACAAACGATACAACTTTGTGTACAACCTCTTTGTACAACTTCACTTTTCGTAGATTTTATTCGAGTTAAGATTGCACCGGAAAAAAATTAATGTGCTATAATTGGTTCAGTAGCCTTTATTTCATATTAATTTTTGAAATTCCATTTTATAAATTAAAATTCAATTTTATATGTACATAAAAATCACACATTTGATTGGATTTCGTGTTGTTTTGATGTGCGAAACAATTTTGTTGCCTCTTCGAAAATAAACACCCACTAACGTTACAATCGGTTGGTACAACATGTCAAATATCAAAAATTTTTTATTTTTCGTACAACCGAGACACAACTTCGTACAACCGGGCCACAAACGACACAATCTTGAATATAATCTCTCCAAGTTGTACAACCAATTGTATCGTGTGTGGCTTGCATTATAAATATCTGATTGTACACTTCAATTTACTTTTACCGTAAGTTACATTTACTTATTTTAAATATATTTTCGTTTTGTACGGAGGGTATATTAAGTTTGTCATTCCGTTTGTAACATATCGAAATATACATTTTTAACCCCACAAAGTATATATATTCTTGATCAGACTAAAATTATATGTCGTTTTAGCGATGTCCGTCCGTCTGTGGAAATCACGCTAGCTTTCGAACGAAATGAAGCAGGTTGATAATTTTATTTATTTTTTATTATGTCTGACTTTGGTGTTGAAAATGGGGCATGTAGACCAACGTTTTGGACCCCATATATCAGTACCTCCCGATATTCGGTACTTTGATGTTTTTTTCAAACTTAGTATTTCAAGTTCGTAATGGATACTACAGTCTATGGCAGAAAATTGTCTGTGCAGGTCCACGTCTTCGGTACTTTGATACTTGTAGCGACATTATTCACCGGAATTGTTTCAAACTTGGTATTTCAATTTCGTAATGGATACTACAGCCTATGACAGAAAATTGTCTGTGCAGGTCCATGTTTGGGCATAGCCCCCATATAATAGTAATTTTGATGATTTTAGCTACATTTTTTTTCAAGTTTGAATATTGTAATGTCTTATGCACCTAATTTTGAAAACGTCGATACCTTTGTCAGATGTACGGAAACGAGTTCTTTAAAGAGATATAGGGGCTGAAACCGTTATTTTGAACAGGTTTCGATATCTCTTTAAAGAACTCGTTTCCGTACATCTGAAAAAAGTATCGAGATTTTCAAAATTAGGTGCATAAGACATTACAATATTCAAATAATTCGTATCAAATAATATATATTCGTTTTAAAGTATTGTATAAATGCTTTCTTAGGTAAATTTAATGACTTGGATGCAAATCGGATGTTGGCACCTCCTACTTTTAGACATTTTGAAGCATAAACGCTTATTATTTTCAAACAAATTAGTTTTAATTTTAGTTTTTAATCGAATCAGCGGATTTTTTTTAAATTGGTACTTCTAATTTATAAACACTGAAATAATTTTTATATCCTACACCACACTTTTTTTGATAATCTCCATAGAATCACCTTCGTAGACGATTTATGTATGCCCGTCCGTCTGTTCCTGAAATTTTCCATAAAGCATTTCTTTGGCTCAATGACGAACGCTATTGAAACTGGTGACAATAGGTCTAAACTTATAAATAGTTTTAGCACATACGACTAAATTTAGCCTAGAAGCAATTATTTCGAATATGGTAAAAATCGGTTCAAATATGGCTACTATATATATATGTTTATTCACTTCACAATCAAACAGCCCAAACAGGATGGATTCTGTCACATTACAAATGAAAATTTATACAGATGTAGCTATAGTTCCGATATATATGTTTTAATTTAAACTTTCTCAAAGTCATATACCATTGCTATTTGGTTCGGGCAATTCTTCTGTCAAATTTCGTGGAAATCTATTTAGAGAAGGATATAACTCCCCTATATTTTTTCCATTCTATTTCATATTATAACTGCCATAAAGCCACAATAGGCACATAATATTTCACATGAATTCTTCGCATATGAATGGTGGTGTTGGGTATTATACAATTATCCCCGTCCGACCTTTCCTTACTGGTTGTGGTTTCTTTTTCTACAATGGAGTTATATACAGGGTGAGATGAAAAAACTGCAACAAAGTCAAACGCCAAAATTTTTACAAATTTTTTTACATTTTATTGAATGAAAGCAAAAAATGTCTGAAATAGCATCGAATGAAACCGTCACACGCTGTCCGAATGTTGCTCTGCGGTATTTTGGCCCATTCCCGGCACTTTGGTATTTTTTAGTGCCAACCTTGCTTTCCAAAATACTCCAGACACAATAGTCCAACGGATTGGTATCCAGAGATTTTGGTGGCCATTGTGTGCTGGAAATAAAGCGAGGAACCTCAGCTTGTAACCATTTTTGGGTGGCGCGTGCTGAGTGCGATGGTGCTGAGTCCTGTTGGAATGTCCAAGGTCTGCGGCGAAAATATTATCGTGCCCAAGCTTTTAATACACCCTCCAGAATATTTTCGCTATAATATTTGGCATCGATTAATACGAGCGGAGAGCGACCATCGGCTGTTATGGCGGCCCACACCATCACCGAAGTTGCATATTTTTAGCTGACCTCTTTGGCAAGTAAACACGATTATTTTGTTTGTTTACAAACTGTTGGACAACGAATGTTTTCTCATCGGAGAAAACCAAATTCGGTAGTGCACCACTTTCGGCCAAGCAAAGCAACTCTTTAGCTCTTTTGGGTTTATTTTCTTTCTTTTGCGGTGTAAGTTCTTGCACTTTTTGGAATTTCAATGACCCCGGTTCGGTCACTGCGACGCGGGTTTCGATAATGTCGCTTCTTTACTTTTCGAACCATTTCTGCTGATGCTGCTGTTTTCTTCCGTCCACTTCCTTGACGTCGGGCTACGCTATCAGCATCACAATAACGAGCGATGGTACGAGACACAAAAGATTTATTCACATTTAAATGCTGGAGTGCTCTAACGATAGCCACTTGTGGTTTTCCACTTAAATATAAAGAAATCACAGTATCACGCTTGAATTCCACCACGAATAACATTTTTTCTGAAAAATTCTCACAAAATGCTTCTGTACGCTTGTAAACAATATAATTTTAACAGCTGTCGGATGAGTGGCTTAGAAATGACAGCAACCTAAAGTTGGTTACAGTTTTTTCATCTCACCCTGCATTATTTTAAAAAATATATATTTTGTGGTTTCTTTTTCTACAATGGAGTTATATACTATATAAAAAAATATTTGGTAGAATCGAAGTTCAAACGCAAACATTTTTAAATGTTCAATAATTGAATCCATGCAAGATTTTCTCACAAAAATGCGTTCATCATGAAATTTCACTATAAGTTACAGAGGATAGTCTTTTCGCAACTGAATTGTGGTTTGAACCTAATTATTTCATACTATATAATGTTTCTATCGACACCAAAAACTTGTAAATTCTAATTATTCTTTGATATACATTTTCATTGTTAAAATTAAGCCGCTGTATTAGTTTTTTTATCACACTTTTGTTCTGGAATGATTTTCTTATTTTTTTTTTAATTTTTTTTTCGCCCAAAAAAATCCACTGTAGTTTCAAATACACACCTAATCCAATATTGGGAAACTCATGTTCGAAAAGATCCGCTCCAGCCGGATAATGTTTATTGAACAATTTAGCACTATTGGCTGCATGCAAAAACAAAACTATGCAAATAACTCCGGTTATCGGCTTCAAATCAAAGCAAACGAAGAAGGAGGTGCGTCTGTTGGAAACCACCATCATTCACCGAACATTGAATGCAAACTATTTCCACATTTGAACAATCCGAGTTGAAAGCAATAGCATACATTCCTTTGCGATAAGATCTATTTGGCCGCCATAAAGACACGTTGGAAGTTTTCTAATGATTTACCGAAAGGAAGGCCAAAATTTTACATATTTTATTTTGTTGTTTTTATATATCAAATTTAATTTGATTTTTTGTTTTTTGTTATATTTTACAACGACTGAAGGCACGCGCGCTCTTGCATTCGGAGTTTTTGGATAAAAGATTGATGGTTGAATGTGCGCGTTGGTTTCGTTAGTTGCGAGAGTTGAACTGCGATTAAATAAATAATAGCTTTGAATGTCGTTGATAAGTGTTTTTGTGATACCAACGAAAGACAACGATAGGTCGGCCAAGCCATCGAGAGAGGAATATTTGGCGTCGCGTCGCAAGAAACATAACCAGGCCCGCTATTAGTTAGTGACTGTGTGTTTACTTTCGCTGAGATCTAAAGCTGATATTAAGTAAAAGACATCAAACCATCCATCCAACCCACTAACCAGCTCAAATGAATATGAAGACATTTCTATTAGTGAGACAAGAAATTAAGATCGAAAAAAGATAGCCGCCTGGTTAATTATATGAGCTTAGAGGTAACAGCTTAGCTTTTGTTTTTGCACTACTTAAGGTTTTTGTTTTTATAGATGTGTTGTCACAACGAGCAAGAGTTCAAAACGCCTTTGTGTAGGAAGTCAAAATATCATTTTATGAAAGATTACCACAAATTCGGTAAGAGACTCAACCAGCTCTTGATGTTTGGGTAGCAGAAAGACTTTTCAAAGATACAGTATCAGCTGCACAATTCCAATAATATAAGCCCGCAAATAGATTCTAAACACTTCGTATAGTTTTAACTCAACTTATTTTTTACATTTTTTTGAGGTTCCTCATGAGAAATTTCTCATAAACCTTATGACTTTTTCTTGGAGGAAAATAATAAGAAATAATAGAAGGAAAAACTCAGATGATAATTGGGGACATCCTATGGGAATTTTAAGAATTATTAGGGTAAAAATGCTAGCCCTCAAGCGTGGTGTGTCTTTTAGTCCAAGAACTAACAACTCCATTCCAATGAAATCATAGCATGTCAATAACTTCTACAAAATTATTTACCACACAATTCAACTAAAGGTTTCAGAATACATCAGTTCTCCTTATCTTACCCTTTAAGAAAATATAATTTTAGCAAAATGACGTCAAATATAAAAATATTTTTCATCTAATTTCACTATGAATAAAGAGCAAGAGATCCCGGTTTCCATTATACAGCCTTAGATAAAAAAACTACAACTAAGTCAAACGCCATAATTTTTACACTCTTTTTTTTAAATTTTTTTGAATGAGGGCAAAGGGAGGAAATAGCATCATCTTTTAGATTTGTTCGAATTGGTCAACTTTGGCGCGAATTATGGCCTTCAAACGGCCAATGAAACCGTCACACACTGCCCGAATGTTGCTCTGCGGTATTTTGGCCCATTCCCGGCGAAGCACTTGCTTGAGATGATCGACACTTTGATAATTTTTAGTGCCAACCTTGCTTTCCAAAATAGTCCAACGGATTGGTATCGGGAGATTTTGGTAACCATTGTGCGCTGGAGTGTTCTACGAAAGCCACTTGTGTTTTCCAGCCAACTATAAAGAAATCATGCTTGAATTCCATCACGAATAACTTTTTCCTAGAAAATTCTCACCAAATTGCTTTTGTACGCTTGTAAACAATATAATGAGATTTCACAGGAATAATTTTAACGGCTGTCGGACGAGTGGTTTAGAAATGACAGCAGTCTGAAGTTGGTTGCATTTTTTCCATCTCAACGTGTATATAGTGGTGTAGGGTATTTTATAGTCGGAACCGCCCAACTTTTGTCATTTCTTAATTGGTTTAACTCTAACTAACTGGAAATGCAGAAGGTATGCAGTTGTCATTGTCTTTGGTATGTTGGTAGTGCAGAGGGTATGAGGTTGTCATTACTTTTAATGCAGTAAGTGGGACATTCGCCTACCGAATTTGTAGGCATGATATATATTTTTTTAAAAGGCCAAATCTCAAAATTAGCTCAAAATACTTTTTTTTTAGAAGTACATATGATACTCTAGCCTCAAATATTGGAATTTTAAATCTCTTACATTTTCTACCACACCTAATATGGGTTCGATCAACTTTTCTGTCGAATTGAGTTCAACGACAGATAATCGATAACATAAAAAATTCGCATAGAATGGTACGTGTACATCGCAATACCTTGAAAGTTGAATTTGGTTGTAACAAACATTACGATCGGATTAATATGCACAACATATCTGCATGAACAGGTTAAGACTGGAATGATTGGTGGTGATATGTAAACAAATCGGTGTGTCTTCAATGAATAACATTCATTAGTTGATTGTGGTCGCATATAAATAACTATTGTTGTGTGTAAACTTAGTTGGTCAGCATAATAGAGTGGACATTGGACAATGAATATGACTAAACGAGAGGGGGTTAGAGAAGACACAACATTTTCGCAGAAATGTTTTTTTACTATCTGCTCTGGATGGTCGGTCACCGATTATTTGTTTACATTTGAAATTTGTGTTTATGTTACCATTAATGTTGTTGCAATGTTCAGGCACTATGTTAAAATATTTGCTTGTAGAGCAAACAACCAAAAGGGTACCCTACAATACCGTCCAAAAATAAGTCAATAAACGACAGAGTTGAAGATTCAGCCGATGTTAATGGTTTCTAAAGTTCCAACTTTAAAAACCTACATAGGGTGCAAATGAGGCCTTCGTTTGAAAACCAAAATTAAAATAGTTTGAATAAAATTTGCTTTCTTTTCCTATTTGGCGCGACACTTTACAAAAGTTGTCATTGTTTTTCTTTTTTGTTTTCTGGAAATGTTGTTTTGTTTGACCAACCAACCAGCCAACCACAACGACAAAGTCTAACAAGTCTGTTGATAACATTTCGCAAATTGTTTGTATGTTTGTGCCTTTTATTTTTTTGCTGTGGACATTTTTCGACAGCGTTGTGCGTCGTTGCCTTTGTTTATGGTTGGTATCAAATTGCGTAAATATGCGTGTGTAAAGTGTTATTTCTCCCAAATGCCATTGGATCCCACCACCTACCTCAAAATGCTAATCAATGAACGGGAATGTAGCGTTGATGGTAAATCTTCTTCTTTGATTTGGTAAATGCAAGGTCGACAACGCCATAGTTTAGTCAGAGTGGCGGTTTAGTTAATACGGTGACAGCATATTTAATTAGCGTTCTACAGACAGGCGTTTGATTAATTTAAATTTTATGTAAACAACAAAAACAAAATTGCAAATAAAATTTTTTACAAAATATTAGGACACAGGGGCGGGACTTGTATGGAGGATGGTATGAATAATAGTTGAGGAAAAGATGAATGGAATTGAATTAAATTTAAATATAATTCGTATATCTTATTCATTTCTTTACATAAGTCGCAAACAAAATAATTAAGTGGCAAGTTTAAAATGCCTACAAAGTTGGAGTCTGCTAATTTTTAACAACGAACATAGTAACGTCTATTGCATATGGGCGATCACAGATGAAATACCATATTTGTTTTAAAAAATCTACAGATATGCTTTATCAACTGGGAAATATACACTGAATTTTGGTTTATGTAATACTAGCTGGACCGGCCCGCGTTGCCGCCCCGTGATTTTAGTCTTTTATATTTATTTTTTAAAGCATAATAAGTCACAGATCTGGCTCATATTAGTGGAATAATTTTTATAATAAATAATGACTTGACTAAATAGAAATAAATACCCATGGCAAAAATTTGAATACATGTTCACCTACCGGTCGATTTAAAGTATTTTAAAAACCTTTTCCTATTTCTCAGCCATAGGCTTTAAGTTGGGAGTTCAAAACATACAATTTCCATTCAAATGAGCTGTACAGGGTGAGGTAAAAAAATGACGGGAATAGCATCAAATTTTAGAATAAGTTTAGATTTGTTGGTCACCTTTGGCACGAATTATGGCCTTCAAACGGCCTGGTTTTTGCTTGAGGTGATAGACACTTTAGTATTTTTTCCGAAAATGAAGCGAGGAACCTCATTTTGTAACCATTTTTGGGTGACCCGTACTGAGTGCGATGGTGCTGAGTCCTGTTGGAATGTCCATGGTTTGCGGCCAAAATGTTTGCGTGCCCAAGGCTTTAATATACCATCACACATTTTCGAAGGTGCACATTTTTAGCTGACCTCTTTGGCAAGTAAACACGATAATTTAGTTTGTTTACCAACTGTACAAAAATCAAACTCGGCAGTTCACCACTTTCGGAATATTTGCCGAATGGAATATTGCCACATATTCAGCTCACGAGCCATTTTTCGGCCACTGCGACGCGAGTTTCGATCAAGTAGCTTCTTTACCTTTCGAACCAAGGACTGTATCAAATTTAGAACTCTATCAAAAATTTTGCGAAGTAAAGAGACAAATATTTGAAGCTCTTTGTTCGGCCTGGAAACCCAAAACCCTTTTGGGATTTTGATCTACTAACCTATCTACTTTGATCTACTAAATATGTAACTCACATATTTATTGGCGTGTGTTTACTTTTTTGATTTTATCCTTTTCCGCCAAGAGACCATTCGGAAATGGTCAGAATTTTTTTAATTAGGCCAGCCGCTCTTGAGTTATAAGCGTTTATCCTTTTCCGCCAAGAGACCATTCGGAAAGGGTCAGAATTTTTTTAATTAGGCCAGCCGCTCTTGAGTTATAAGCGTAGTAACAAACATAGCCTTATATATATATATATATATATATATATATATATATATATATATATATATATATATATATATATATATATATATATATATATATATATATATATATATATATATATATATATATATATATATATATATATATATATATATATATATATATATATATAACAACAAAGAGCTTCATATATATATATATATATAGACGGTCACAATAATTCATTATTTTGTTCACAAAAACAAGTAAAAAATCTGTAATTTCGGCCGGGCCGAACTTTGAATACCCTCCACCATATGTAACGAATTTGCTAATTTTCAAAAAAATAAAGTCCGTTAAAATCTTAAAAATATCGATTGTAGCCGTTATATTAGGTCTATACGAAGACATGGAGCTTTTGTCATAAGCCAATACAATATTCAAATGCGAAACTTAAAAAAATGGGAGAATAATGTAGCTAAACTCATCAAAATAACGAATATAGGGAGGTACCGTTATAGGGGGGCTATACCAAAACATGGACCTGCACAGACAATTTTCTGTTCTAGGCTGTAGTATCCAT